CTGCTTCCTCCTGGGAGGAAAAGTCCCTGCTGGTCCTGATCAGTGACCTGAGATTCCATTTCACGAGGAGTTAATTGAATCCAGACTGCGGGCAGGTCTGCTTCACCCGCCAGAGCCACAGGGCAGCCATCGACGTCAATAGAGCCTATCTGGGGCGCAGCGTTTTGTGGTCTCTGCTGCCCTGCAGGCAGGCGCCCCTCCCTTTTCAATGCTCTGGGAAGTGTCTCACAGCTGAGCGAGCTGCTACCTTGGGGGAACAAACAAAGAGCAAATCATTGGGATGCGCCTGTTCTGCCCAGCTAGGAACAAAGGAAGGGTGGTTGGAGAGAGGGCGGTGCTGCTTGGACACACCTCAGCAAAGAGAGCTCAGAGAGCCACGAGGAATCCCAAGAAGTGCCAAGATCCGCTCTGTCTTCCCACAACATTGCCCTGTGGGATGATTACCTACAGTTCTTTGCTCAATCTGTCAGCAGGGTGCTAGCCACATGGCCATGAAATGCGGACAACAGGAGGCAGAAAAACTGGTTTGACCAGTTTTCACTTTTGGTGGCTTTTGCGTGTCGACAGCACTTTCATCGCCAAACCTTCCAGTGTAGATAGACCGTCAGTTTTGTGACAGTTTTCCTGATAAAGGGAGGTCATGTTGTGCCTATTCAATGTCACATTCAAGCTAGATCATGGGGTGTGATGCACAGTCCTATCCCTTGGTCATGCCAAAGAAATGACTCTCTTGGTTGCTTCCTTTCCTTACCCCAATCCCACTGAAGAAGGCTCATTTTGTAAGAGTGGTGTGGTCCTGTCTAGTTGCTGCCCTAGGTTCTTATTCCAAAACAACTTAGTGTCACTATCGTCTCGCTGCGGCGTGGAGTAACTTTGGTTAACACCCGGCAATTCAGAGAATCGTCCCAATATCATGTCCCAACCCCAATAGGAGCCTTTGGTAGCTACACTTACGTTCAGGTAGGTAGTGAAGTCCTGTCTGTGTCAACATTGTTTCTCCTTGCCTTGCAGAAATGTGGTATGGAGTGTTCCTGTGGGCACTCATGTCCTCTCTCGCTTTCCACATCCCTGCGGGATTACTAGCGCTCTTCACCCTCAGACATCACAAATATGGTAGGTTCATGTCTGTAAGCATCCTGCTGATGGGCATCGTGGGACCAATTACTGCTGGCACCTTAACAAGTATGTGAGCCGTTCCCAAGTGCCTGTGTGACTGATGAGTGCCTCTTGGTGAGAGTTCACTTCAGACGCTTGCTGAAGTGAGATGCCATTTCTTCCTCGTGAGAAAGGAGCTGACCAAGTAAGCAGCCTGCCCCATGTGCTCGAGGTTAAGCCTGAGCTGGAGTCTTGTGTCTAGTTCTGGGCGCCACATGTCAGGAAAGATGGGGAGAAATTCAAGAAGGTCCAGAGAAGAGCAACAGAAATGATGAAAGGTCTAGAAAACATGCCCTATGAGGGAAGACTGAAAGAACTGGGCTTGTTTAGTTTGGAAAAGAGAAAGGATGTAACAGCTTTCAAATACTTAAAAGGGTGTTACAAGAAGAGAGGAAAAATTGTTCTCCTTGACCTCTAAGACAAGAAGCAATGGGCTTACATGGTAGCAAGGGAGGTTTAAGTTGGACTGGAATAATTGCCTATGGGGGCTGTAGAATCTCCATCATTGGAGATTTTAAAGATCAGGTTAAACAAATACTTGCAAGGGTGGTCTAGACAGTACTGGGCCCTGCCGGAGGGCAGGGGACCAGACTTAATGACCTCTTGAGATCTCTTCCAGTCCTGTGATTCCCCTACACTTCCTTAGTGCTCTCTTTCCTAGCACCTTCCATGATGGATTTTGAAACATGCTCAAACAGAACACAGTTAAAGTGGAGCCGGATGATAAAACTGGAATCAAAGTGGCACGTCAGGTCACTTTCAGACTTGCAATATATTTACAATACTTTACAGTGGCCTGTACCTTTCCTGGAAAGTGGACAAAGAATTCTGGGTACAAAAGATCCTGGTTTATACTCCCAACGACTCATTGATTAAAGAAGCCCTGTGCAATACTCGGTTCGATGAGGCATTAGCAAGGTTTTATCCTTGCCTGTTACACAACTAGATTGTGATTGGCATCGCATGGCAGCATCTGTGTAACGTGCTGTTGCTGTTCTCCCTTCCATTGGCCCGGGTCCTTCTGTAGCATCCACTCCTGACAGCACCTCTCTCTGGTTTCCTGTGACTCGCAAAGACAGCAAACAATGTGCCCTGCACATGCATACACGTACGCCACCTGTAGGTGATCACTTGCCGCAGGTTTCACCACAGGAAACCACATCTCAGTCCCTCCATGTTAATTGTGATCTTACGACAGCCTGTTCGGGTGCCCAGGAAACCAAATACTCCTTTGGTGGCTGTTAGTAAGTGTGAACAAGAGCCAATCCGCTCTGCCCGGAAGAAGCTGGGGCGGATAAAGCCATTATGTCCCAGTATGCATTGCGGTCCCATAGGCACATGGCATGCTGGGCGCTGTAGTTCCCTTCCCAGTGCCGGGAAGGGGGTGGGACCTGCTGTGAACTGTGGTAGGCATTAATGAAATGAACAGCTGGAGGAGAAAATGTAGGAATTAAGACTTGTCTTAACTAGAGATGTGAAAGATTAACTGGTTTGGACTGGAGCAGCTCCCAGCCTGTGGTGGGTAGGGGGCTGCTCCAGCCCTGCAGGGCCCGCCACAGACAGAGGCGTTCAGCCCACCCGGAGCGCCCCCCCGGGAGCAGACACGGCTCAGGGCGGGCAGGGGTTGCTCTGGCTGGCTGGACCAGCCTCTGCCCATGGCAGTGGGGCCGGGGCAGACCCCCACCTGCCCCTTTTAACTGGTTAAACATCATGGTTAGCCAGTGAAATGGGATTTTCAGCAGTAGTCTTCACTGCTGAATAAAGAGCAATTCATTCCAAGCGCTTAGTTTTTAAAACATACTTCAAGTGTCTGGTTTCAATAGGTGTCTAGTTAAGGGCTGGAGACTTTACACAGGCCAGGCAAGAGATCCTGTGGATTGCTTTTTGCTAGCATGAGTTTCTTTTATTTTGATGTAAACCCCCAGTGCATTCAGTGGCTTAGGCAGCTATATAACCCAGCCTGGGCACGCCAAAATAGACCGGGCTGTACGCCTGGCCCTGGCTGCCAAGTCCTGCATATCGCTAAGTGTCTGTCTCAGTCTGGGCTGAGTTCGTTAACGCTCGTTTCTTATCAGGTGCGGCTATTGCTGGGGTGTACCGAGCGGCCGGAAAACAAATGATCCCCTTCGAAGTGCTCACGCTCGGCGTGGGGCAGACGTTCTGCGTGATGGTGATTTCCTTCTCACGGATTTTAGCAACTCTCTAGCATTCCGATGGAGACCTGAGCCTGAAGATCAAGTGGGGTGGGAAGAGGATTTCAGCTGCGTGGCCGGAGTGAGTCCCTGAATGTGGCAATTTCTCAATCTCTGGGCGGAAATGGCATGAGACGAAGACCCTGGACTGACTCGGAAGGTGCTATGTCTCCAGTTTTCCAAAGGCCTGTTTCTGCTGCCAGTGTAGTAGCAGACTGTCTTACGCTAGGGAAGGAAGGTAATCCTCGCAAATCTAATCAGAGGGGTTGTGTGCTCAGGCGAGGTTCCGTAACTCTCTTGGTGTCTGTAGAGTACAAAAGCAGGGCAAAGATTGGCTAGATTTTTCTTGTAGCTTGTATATACTTCCCTGAGAAAATAAGGGGTTAATTCTTCCACAGGCAATATTGCAAGCGTTAATATTCAAATCAGAAGAAGCTGCTTGATCAGTCTTTAATCTGTTGTAGACTTAGCTGAAATTGAAGCTAATCTGTTAACATTGATTTGGTTACGTTTTGGTAACATTAAGTGCCAAGGTTTTCTGGGTGGGGGGAGGGTTAGTAGTGTTCAGTGTGACTGGAAACCGTGAGCTGTTGTAGCACCAGAAAGAATTGTGGTTCTGCTGTAGGGAAGTCACTACTGAACAACGTGGCAGGAGTTAATGCTTTGACCGCTCGCTGCTTTGTCCTGGGATGAACCTTTTCGATCCTTTTGAAAGAGGTGAAATGCAGTTTTTAGGTGAGTTTGTAGGTGGCCTTTCTGGCCCCTGTCTTGGTGGGGGGAGCAAAAAGAAATCCCGTTTCAGACTCTCGGTGCCAGCTTGCGTTCACGTTCCCCACAGAAGCCGGAGAATGATTTTATTCTACGAGGTCTCTCTTGATAACATTCCCTTATGGTGAAACTGACCAGCCCCCGTCTCTTCTGTGAAGGGGGCAAGTGGGGATGAGTGACCCCTGCCCCGGAAGCAAGTATTGGAAATCGTGTGTATCGCTCTTGCTCTCCCATGGAGCCTGACTTGGATTAAGCTGCCGTTAGTTCTCCCTTTAAGCACTTGGAGACTTAACGTGTTTACAGGGGCCTGATGGTCATTAAAGTCTTAACTCAACGTTGTAATAATCAGAGGGCCGGAGACTGAGAATCCTGCATCCGGCTTCCGTGACTGCGCAGTGGCAGCCACAGCATGTGCCCTACCCGGCTGCTTGCACCAGCAAGGAGAAACAGGGCATGTCCTCCACGCTCAGTACCTGGAACTAACCAGGTGCCCTCCCCTCGGTGATTCTAGCACTGCCAGCAAACCTGATCTCTTCTGTCCAGTTTCCAAGAAAAGGACCGTAAATGCCTTTTGCGCTCTGCCCTATTGACGGAAGCGCTTGTCGAGCCATGTGCTTCGTGTGGGGCTGGAGTTGTCCCTGGTTCTCTAGAGATCTAGACATTCCTACAAGGTTCATCGCCACCTGCCACTTCCCTGCAGTTTGGCAACATATTTGCACTCTGGATCGATGAATGGCGTCGCTAGGCTTACTACGAGGGAATCCTCGGGCGTGTCCTGTAGCAAAGCATCCTCTCCTCGGCCGACGCTTTTAAAAGGAATTGGGTTTTACTGAACTTGGTTTTAATTCTTTTACTAACAAAGCAGGCAAGCCAGATTGGCTTTTACTTCTAAATTCCCGCTGCCTTTTACGATGACACCCTTTACTTCCTCTGGCCTAAAGCTGTCTAGGGTAAATGGCCAGCAGAGAGAGAGTGCACTTCTGGCAACAGAAAGAATATGGCGCCGCACAACTTACAGCGTCTCCTGTTGCCCTGCGACAGGTCCCTGGAGAGGCAATCCATCGGGATGAGTCCTTCCTAGAATCTGTCTAAACTAGACCCTTCGGCATTCATCCAAAAACACAAGCGGTGGGGTAATCTGAGAGCCTTCCGTGTGACTGCCTCGTTGGGAGATCGCCGACCCCCAAGCTGTACGCAGCTGCTCTTGTGACACTCTGAACGCCCAGTGGCTTGCACCGAACCCTGGAACCAACGTCTAACTGTACCCTGCATGTTCCATTGCTGCTCACCAGCAGGGGCAGCCTTGTGCTGTGCCTAGGACTGAATTGCCGTGGTGAGCATGTGAGGAAGAGCTAGAACAAGCCAAAGGATAAAATCGCTTAGAGCAGCAGCAGACCTAGGACTCGATCTGTTTTCTACGCATCTAATTTCCTTCAAGCGAGTGACTGTGCATCTTCAGTGTGCATTGAGCTGTGATCGGTAGCGTTTATCTGACTGTGCGCAGGCCCCGGGATGTTTTCAGGGAGCAGCCTTGTAACAGTGACCAGCCAGGCACTAATCTGTAGTGTTCTCGACTCTTATTCTCCACCCTTTGGTGAGATGCAAAAGGCTACAGCAGAAAGGTGGTTTTCTCTCCTCCCGCACAAGAAACCCAACCGAAAAGGAGCAACTGTGAGCCGATGGAGCAAATCTGTGATTAAAAGCCATGTCCGTCTTCCACCCCCACCATCAAGCGTCCTTGCTTCGTCCCTTAATGGCCTTTTAAACCTCAGGAACCCAGTAGAAGCAGCATGCAGTTCGGCGGCGGCGGGTGTGAGCGGCCCGAGCGTCACTGAAACGAATGGGGCTGTGCTTGTTTACAGTTCCTGCGCGAGCATCTGGCTGTCAGCCTGCGCATAGAAAACAGGGGAAGAGGCTGATCTAGAGGCCAGGCAGACCGTGCGATAACCGTTCGTGCCAAGGAGAAAGTCGTTCTCGGTCACCAACGTTTTACCTACCCCGTGCAGCAGCGTCACGGCCCTTTGATACAGCCTGGTGCCTCGTGGGCAAAAGGGCCACAATGAGCAACATGCTTGTCGAAAAAGGTGAAAGCCAAGGGGCTGTCAGCTGCCTGGCCAAGGTGCATTTCACCCTCGGCCCGGGGGCCTCGGCAAAGGATGGGGTGGAACAAAGAGGCTTTCTGCACTGGAATCATTTCACCCCCCCAGCAGAGAATTGTGGCTCTGCTGGGTGGGGCCGTGTGTGTGTCTGAAGGCCTTGCCTGCCGGCTTGAGCCAGAGCAGCCTCCCTCTGTATCCCCCTCCCTGCTCCAGCCACTGTGAACAGATCTGTGGGACGCAAAGGCAGCGTAAAGGCAAATGCTGGTTTTCTACGGATGCTTCTAATGCTGCTAACGAATAAACTCAATGACCGTGAGGCAGGCCTCGTACGCCCTCTCTGGGGGGTGCCAGTGGGGCTTCCATTCCTGTGTCTTAGGGAGCTGATGCAGAGCCAGAACCTGCCTGCTGGCTGGAGCCAGAGCAGCCTCCCTCTGTATCCCCCTCCCTGCTCCAGCCACTGTGAACAGATCTGTGGGACGCAAAGGCAGCGTAAAGGCAAATGCTGGTTTTCTACGGATGCTTCTAATGCTGCTAACGAATAAACTCAATGACCGTGAGGCAGGCCTCGTACGCCCTCTCTGGGGGGTGCCAGTGGGGCTTCCATTCCTGTGTCTTAGGGAGCTGATGCAGAGCCAGAATTAGGCTCCTTTCCTGGTAAAAGGCCAGTGGATCCAGGGGAAGAGGGAGTCCTGGGGGAACAGCAGCATGCGGGCACGTAATCCAGGGCTGCAGCACGGTGCAGTAGGCGGCACAGGCACCCTCAACTCTGGCATCTCCAAACTGTCGGGGCTCGAGTCTGCGATCGCGTTCAATGTTCTTTTCACATCCCTTTGATCGGCCCTTTCCCGGGGGCATTCGGGGACTGAAAAGGCCAAAAGCGAGGTCTGTGGCTTGCCCCTGCAGCCACCTCCCGTCCGGCCCCCTCAGGAGATGTTGAATTCTGAGCCCTCAGCCCCAATGTCGACCCCTGGGGCGACGAGTACATCTGTCTCCTAGCAGCCGGAGGTGGCTGTGATGCGGGACGGGGAGGGTGGAGGGCAAAGGCTGGCTGGCTTTCTCTGTCCCCGTCCCCTGGAAGTCAGGGGCTTGTCCCACAGATTGGATCGGAGGGATGGTCAGACAGCTCCCTCCCCTCCTCGCCCTGCTTCTGCTGTGCAGTCATCACCAGTCAGCCAGTGGGGGGCGTGTTTCTGCTGGCAGAGCGCCTGTGGGGCTTGCTGAGTCACGGGACAGCTGGCACCGTGCCCAGCCCAGCGCCCACATACAACGGCTGTTAACAAAGGCAGTCGGGCATGCAACACCCCACCCCACAGGTGTGAGGCAAGGATCCCTTCCCGCGAGCCGGGCAGGCACACCCCAGCTGGGATTAGCCGCTGGCTCCCGGGGGGGGGGGGGGGATGGGGGGGGA